AATACTTGACGATTTTCCTAGTGCTCACCCCCTTATGCAAAAGGGTGGGTCCAGGAAGAGTGCGAGAAGATCCCTGTAAAGGTTTGCACTAACCTCATAGATAACATGCCTAGGAGGGTGCGGGTAGTGATCAAGGCCAAGTGTCGGTGGACTAGGTACTAGAAACGCTGCTTGGAAGTTTGCTCTTTTACCTGGGAAACAATTGTCCGGATGTACACTTTGTATATCTTTTGGCACTAAGTTAGATCCAGTGTACAATTATGGATTTTAGAGCTGTGAGCACATCCACTATGTGTCTCTCCCAAAGCATATCACCATTAAACATTAAGACTTTATGTACAGTGGTCGGAAAGCCCAAACATCCCAATTAATGCAAAACATCCTGACAATTGTTTCCGTTACTGTGTCTACTGTGCCTTCCTATCTACCGTGCCTCCTTATCTAACTTGCCTCCCTACCTATCACGCCTCCCTATCTACCCTGCCTCCCTTTCTACAGTGCCTCCCATTCCTCCCTGCGTCCTGTTCTTCCATGATTCCGTGTTCTTCCCTGCCTCCTGTTCTTTTGCCACCATACTTCCCTGCCTCTTCTTCCAATCTAGGCCTTCCACCACCCAAAAGTGCAGCTCACCGCGTCCCGGCCTCCTCTATCGCTCCATTAATTCCCTTATATGGTTTACCAGTTGTTTGCAGCAATGCCTATGTCAAACATATATTGTATTTTTGTGTAGACTATATAGGGTTGTGCCTTAGGGAGTACAACCCATTAGGTTATATTCCCTTGTCTGCCTTGTTCTAGATCATTATTTCGCTTGAACATGGTATCATGAGTACGTAGGTCCCCCCCCCCCTCCCCCAGCGCTTCCGCCCTAGGTCCTAGCTGCCTCGTCGCCTCGCGGCCACGTACCCTAGCTTCCCCGCGGCCCCGTCCCCTAGCGGCCCCGCGGCCCCGTCACCTAGCGGCCCCGCGGCCCCGTCACCTAGTGGCCCCACGACCCCGTCTCCTAGCGGCCCCTCGGCCCCGTCACCTCGCGGTCCCGCGGCCCCGTCCCCTAGCAGCCCTGCGGCTCCGTCCCCTAGCGGCCTTGCGGCCCCGTCTCCTAGCGGCCCCGCAGCCCCGTCTTCTGCACCGCACTGCACCGCCCGACATCGCTCTGCACCGCACTGGACCACACATCACCGTAGTGCACCGCTCTGCACCGCACTACACCGCCTTGCACCACACTACACCCTAACGTACTGCACCTCCCTCCACCGCACACTACCACACTGCACCGCACATCACCGCTTTCCGCCGCGCTCTCCTGCCCAGTACAGTCTTTCTCCTGCTGCTGCAACCATGATGGCGGACTCGGTCCTGCGTTTTGATGCTGAGGGGCAGCCGATTGAGTTCGACTCGTGGCTCGTCGACCTCCAGCGACAAGTGGCTGGTCAGCGGCAGGACGGCCACTCCCTGGACGTCCACATCGACGGTACGCTCCCCTGGCCGGACCCCATTGCTGCCCTCCCCGCTGACCTCACCTCTGCTGACCGTGAGTCCGCTGCAGCTGCTGCCCTTGCCCGTGCTGTCCGGTTGTCGCGTAACGCTGTCGAACAGCTTGCGATCAGTCATGCCCTTCCCCTGTCCGAGCGCCCCTGCTTTAGGTCCGTCAGGACTGCGCAGGAGTTCTTAGAGGCTGCTGTTGCGCGCTATTCCACCCCGCCCTCTGCCTCTGTAGGTCGCCTGATCCTACCCATGCTCTTTCCTGACCTTGCGTCTTTCCCCACTGTCGCTGACCTAGCCGCCCACCTGCGCACGCTAGACACGACCTGGCGCGCTGCCTGCACTGAGGCTCAGGTTCGTGTGTTTCAGCCCCCCATCTGCTCTACCCTCTACCTGCTTGCCACCCGCCTCCCTGACCGCCTTGCCACCGCCCGCGATCACTTCCTTAGTCTCCACCCCACTGACCTCACCCTCACTGAGTTTGTCAACACCCTGTCTGCCATAGAGACCCGTCAGTGCTCTATCGCCCAGTCTAGCGGTACCGTGCCAGTCTCTATCTTTCAGGGCTGTACCCTTGCTCAGTGCTCTTACTTCGACGGTTTTGCTGCGGTTGTTGAGACAACTCTGGCTGTGGAAACAGCCACCGCAGTGCAGTTTCGTCCGTGTAAGGGTCGCCGCCCCAAGGTTGGGCGCGGCGAAGGTAGCGAAGGAGGGGGTGGTGCCGGTGGTGGAGGTGGCTTGCCCGCTGGTAGTACTGATGAGGGGGCGGGGCTTGGTGCCCCGAACAAGCAGCCCCAGCAGTAGCAGCAGGCTCCGCAGCTGGACTAGCAGCAGCAGCAGGCGCAGCAGCGGAGGGTCGGCCGTCTCCCGCCCGGGTGGCTTGGAGCTGGAGGTGACGGTGGTTTCAGTGGTCGCTCGCGCAGCGTGTTGTCCGGTGGTAGTCAGAGTGACGACTGCTGCCAGTACCAGCTCCAGACCGGTCCTCGCCGCGGCCTTGTGTACGGTAAGATCGGTCATACCCCCGCTCATTGCTTTCGTTGCTTAGACGACCTAGTTCGTCTCAGCTTCGGCCCATCGCCTGACCTCCCCGTCTGGTTCAATCTGCTCCGTCGTCGTGTTCAGATCTTTGATATGGACATGGATGAGATTAGCTCTGCTTTGTATGCGCTGTATGTTGATGACTCTAGTGTGACTGGTTCCTATTACCCTGTGTTGCCTAGCGTAGGTGTGCCCAGTGTGCCTAGTTCAGGCTCCCCTGCTGCGTCAGACGTAGGATCCCCTTCCTTGTTTAGCCTAGGGTCCTCCCTCGCTCCTCCGACCTCTGTCGCCGCTGCCGCGCTCTCCTTCACCCTGGACTCCGGAGCTTCCCGGTGTTTCTTTCGCGACTCCACGATGCTTACGCCGCTTGTCGCTCCTGCTGCAGTTGCTCTTGAAGACCCTTCCTCCGGTCCTGTAGTTGCCCGTAGCTCCACTACTCTCCCATGTCTGGCGGTTCCCTAAGGCTCCCTTACAAGCCTGCACATCCCCTCGTTCTCTAGGAACCTAGTTGGTGTCGGCTGCCTCCAGGACCTTGGCGTCACTACTACGTTCCCTGGGCACGAGCGGTACGCTGTCTGTGCTGAGGCCGCCACTGGTGCCCCCCTCACCACGTTCCCCTTGGACCCAGTGTCTGGCCTGTTCACGCTGGACATCGCTTCCCCCTCGGTTGGGATGCCTTCCCAGGTACCTGCGTCTTCCCAGGTTGCTGCGATGTGCTCGTGTCGGTCTCTTACTCACCCGTCACTTCGGTGGCACCACCGTCTAGGTCACCCCGCCCTCACCCGTCTCTGTCACATGTCCCAGCACCGTCTTGTCCTAGGCCTCCTCTGGACTCGTCGGACTGGCAGTTCTACCACCCGCCTTCTCACCGGTTCTTTCACTCTCGTGACGTCACTTTTGACGAGTCCGTCTCCATCTACCACCGCATTCCTCACCGTGGTCCCCCGGTCACTCCCCCCCTATTCCTGGTGCCCCCCCCTCCCCCGGTCGACCCTGTCCACCCCCCTCCCCGCTCTGCCCCGTCAGGTGTGTCTCACGTCACCCCCTCCCGTCGGTTCTCCCTGCTGAGGAGTCCGCTAACTCTCGCGGCTCGGCGAAGTCTCTTCCCCCTCCTCTCCCTGCCCTGGTCTCGCCTCCCCTGTCGCCGTCACTGCTCTTCGCCTCCTCGGTCTCCCTTCCCCTGGCCGCCCGTCGCTGCCTCCCCCGCTGCCACCGCCTCCTCCTCTGCCGGTCCACGGCCCCATGTTTCCTCCCCCGGACTCCTCTCCGACTCGTTTCCCTCCCCGTTCTCCTCCTGTGTCTCCTCCCCTCTCTCCTGACCCGACTCCCCCATCTCACGTCTGGTCTCGTCGTCCGTCTTGTGCTCGTCCTACCTCCCCTATTCCGCGTTCTCACCCTATGTTGCTGCGCTCTCACGCGTCTCGTGCTCCTCCTCTCCTCCCGTCTCCTCCTCCGTCGTCACTTGCTGTCGCCTCGCCTCCGTTCTCGGACTTCCTCCGCGCTGCACATCCCCTTGTTCCTTGTGTCCTTGCCTTTCTCGTTACCGACCCGTCTGTTCCTGTCTCGAGTCTGTCGGCTCTTGTCGCTGCTGTCACTGACTTTGCCGCTACCCGCCGCCTGGACTACGCCACCGCTCTGGTCTCTAACCCATCCTTGCCTTCGACCGTCAGGGGTGTGGCTGCTCTTGGCAGTGACGTCCTAAAGGACAGGTAGTTCGAGCTCGCTTTCCTGTCTGAGGCTGCTCCCCATCTCTGTTTCATGCTACTAGTCCCTGCGGGTGACCCAGACGCCCTCGACATCCCGACCTCTCGCACCTACGCTGAGGCCACCTTGGGACCCTGGGCCTCTCAGTGGATAGCTGCCATGGAGCAGGAGATGGCATTTTGGAAATCCACCGGTACCTTCGTCGACGCAGTTCCCCCACCTGGGGTGAACGTAGTCGATGACCGATGGCTCTTCAAGATGAAGCGCCCTCGTGGAGAGCCGCCTGTCTTCAAGGCGTGCTACGTCGCTCGAGGCTTCAGTCAGCGTGAGGGGGTGCACTTCTTTCTGACCTTCGCCCCGACCCCAACTCTTCGGGCGCTGGTACACGTAGCAGCACAGCGTGACTATGAGCTGCACTCACTCGACTTCTCCACAGCTTTCCTCCAAGGTAGTCTACACGAGCAGGTCTACCTACGCCGCCCCCAAGGCTTCTCCGGTACCTTCCCCCCTGGCACCTGTTAGGATTAAGGACAGAGTCTAGGTGAACTTAGGAGCTAGAATTACTCAAAATATAAATCCGAAATTCTGGACAGAAAAGTCGTCTTCACAAGAAACGACGTCGACAAAACACTAGCCGTTGGAATGTCGCGAAACTTGGATATGTTGTAGCTCTTGATCTCAGCTACCGTTCCCAATTTGAATCACGTTGATTGATGAAGTATTCGCGACGCTATGGCTTTCGACGCACTAGGGGGTAAGCTGTAGGAGGAGAACTTAACTCAATCTCAAGAGTTCAATCAAAGTTCAAGAATCTCACAAGGAATTAGAGGAGCAAGAGAAAGGTTGGGATAGAAAGAGAGGGACGAGAGGGAAGGTCCCAAGAGAGTCCCCAACCAAGGAAACCCCATAAGCACAAAGATTCCCTCCCTATAGGAACCTCAACTTTGACCTTTGTCCCTTCCCAACCAATCCATCCAAGTTGGCCACCCTTGCCAACCTAGCTTGGTTGTTCCCAACCAATTTGCACCTGTTACAGTAGAGTGACAAATTTCCCCAACCCCAAAGGTCCCAACTCCATATAGAGTCACCCCACAACTTCACTTTGTAACCGCCGCAATTGTAACGCAAGCTCATGAACTTTGAATCTTCATAGCTTTCGCGTTCTTGCTCCGATTGAAGCGATTCTTGTTGCGTCGGAAATATATTCTCAAGATCTATCATCAAAATACCTGCTCAAACAAAAATAACACAGAACACATTCCCAAACTCCAGAACACACCACACACAAATTCTTTCACATTCAAACCACACATGCAAGTTGAAAACATGGGATGGGAGGCAGACAGAATGTGATAGCATATGATGACATCACACAACAATCTCCCCCTCTGGCTGCCAACCATCATCGACCATACCACATCTCAAGCATGCATACTCAATGCACACTCATCCCAGCAAGCTTCATGCCCTTCCAATGATCCGCCTCCGCCAGACGCTTAGTGAAAATATCTGCTGCCTGCTGATGGGTCTTCACTATCTCCAGCCGCACCTCCTTATCAAGGAGTCTCCTCACCCAGTGCCACTTAGGCCTTATGTGTTTTGTCAGCCCATGCAGACAAGCATTCTTGGCGAGCTTCACAGCAGACTCATTGTCACAGAACACAACTGTCGGCTCCTCCTGACCAACTCCCAACTCCTCCAACAAACGCCTTAGCCACACTACTTCCTTGGCCCCATGGTGTAAGGCCATGTACTCAGTCTCACATGAGGACAATCCCACCTCATTCTGCTTCTTGCTGCGCCAGCTCACAGCACCACCTCCTAGCAAGCACACATAACCCCCAATGCTGGTGCCATCCGCTTTCACTGAGTTGAAGCTAGCGTCAGTATAGCAACTCAAGAGCATCTTTCCACTCTTCACATCTGCAGCACCTCTCTGCAACCGCTGCCTCACTCCACTGTACTCCAATCCCACTGATGCCGTAGCACTCACATAGCGGACCAACCTCTTGGCCGCTTCCAGCTGCTCATGACTAGGGCGTGAGACCACACTAGCCAACCGTGATGTAGAAAATGCAATGTCAGGCCGTGTATGATTTGCAGCATAATTCAGCGACCCAACCATCGAATGAAACAGCTTCCTGTCACTCTCACCCACTACCTCCTCATCAGCACATGGCTCCACAGTAAACCCTGAAGGTAGTGGTGTTGCTGGCTTTCCCCCATCTTGCAGCCCATACTTCTCAGCCAGCCCCTCACAGTACTTCCTCTGGTGCAACCTCAGCACACCCTTTTCCACATCTCTCTCCACGTGCATCCCCAAGTAGTACTTCACCTCACCCATCTTGGAGCACTTGAACTGCATCTCCAGCATCTGCTCTGCGCTGTCCAGCAAAGCAGTGGATGCAGAAAAGAGAAGGATATCATCCATATACACCAAGAGCATGAGGATTTCGTCCTTCTCCTGCAGCAGGAACAGGCTGGGGTCACACTCACTCTTCTTGAAACCCCCAGCCACCAGCGCCTCCTCCAACTTGTGATACCATGCACGAGGCGCCTGCTTAAGGCCATAGATTGCCTTCTTCAGCCTGCAGACCCTGCCGCTCCCATCATCCAGCCCCTCTGGCTGCTTCATGTACACCTCCTCCAGAATGATCCCATTCAGAAAGGCAGTCACAATGTCCATCTGCCGTATCTTCCATCCCAGGAGTGCAGCTATCGCCAACAGCACCCTCAGTGTTGTTCCTTTCCCCACAGGAGCAAATACCTCATCATAGTCCTTCCCTTTTGTCTGCTGAAACCCCCGTGCCACAAGCCTAGACTTGTATCGGGTCAGCTCCCCTTCAGGTCCATACTTGTGCCTGTAGATCATCTTGGAAGTGATTGCCTTCTTTCCAGGAGGCAAGTCACACAGGTCCCATGTCTCGTTCTCAATCAGGGACCCAAACTCCTCATCCTCACTCGCCTTCCACTTCTCCCCATTTGGTCCATTCAAGGCCTCCTCTCGAGTCTTGGGCTCAGGGATTGGTGCCCAGTAGCAGTGAGCGATCTCATCTTCCTCAATCTGCTCAACCACACTCCCAGCCTGCACCACATTCGGCTTGCCTCTTCCCCCATAGGTCAGCCTCACCGGAGGGCGCACATCCCTCCTAGGTCGCTCAGGCGGGTGTGGAACTCGAGATGGAGACTCATGCTGCTGCTGCTGCTGCTGCTCTACTTCAGCTGCTCCCCCTTCCTCAGTCACCCCAGACATCTCCTCCTCTGACACTGCAACCTCCACCTGTCTTGAAGGCTGCTGCACCTCGTCTGCCTCCACAATGAGCGGTGTAGATGGAAGCTTCTGTTGCTGCTGCTTCCATTCCTTGTAGTACAGGGACTCCAGAAACTTCACATCCCTTGACACTGTCAGCTTCTGGGTGGTCAAGTCCCATAGCAGCCAACCCTTGTGATCCTTTGCAATCCCCAAGTGCACACCCCATCTTCCAGAAGCCTCCAACTTCCCCCTTTTCTCCTTAGGCACATCAAACACCACCATGCACCCAAATGCCCTCAGCATGTTCACAGCTGGAGCACTCCCATACCACTTGACATATGGGATCCACTCCTTATCTCCAACTGTAGCCAGCACCCTGTTCTTCACAAGGGCGACCTGCCTCAGTGCAGACACCCAAAATGGATCAGGCAGCCCTGCACGCCCAAGGAGAGTGCGTGCCCCCTCCTGCAGGGTCCTGTTGAACCTCTCAGCCACGCCATTCTGCTGCGGGTTGTAGGGCACTGTCAGTTGATGCTGGATCCCCTTCCTCTTCAACTCCCCCTCAAAATCAGCTCCAATGAACTCCCCACCATTGTCACTACGGATCACCTTCACCTTGTATCCGCATTCCCTCTGAGCTCTAGGCATCCACTCCTTAAGGACAGCCGCTGCCACCTCCCCCTTGCTCTTCAAAGGGTAAACCCACACTGCCCGAGTGTGGTCATCCACAATTGTCAAGAAATAGCGGCTGCCTGAGAGGGAAGGGGCTCTTGTGGGCCCCACCACATCCATGTGCACAAGTGCAAGTGGGGTCTTGGCTGGTCCTGTTGCACTGTTGAAGGGGAACTTGGAGAACTTGGTCTCCAAGCATGTAGGGCAGCTCCCAATCTCCTTCACTCCCCCTTTCACCTCCAAGCCCTTCAGGCTCCCATCCTTCACCAACTTCTGCAGCATAGGGAAGTTCACATGACACAGCCTCTCATGCCATGTCTCCCAATCGGCCTCTCCACTCCTTGATGAAGCCTTAGCCCATGCCGCACTCGCATCCACACCAGCAAGCACCTCGCCATGTGTCTGCTGCTGCTGCACTTTCTTGACTGCTTCCAGGACCCCATCAGTTGGTGCAGTTGCATCTCCTCCTGCTGTTGCCTTTGCCGTTGCTGCCGTTGCTGCTGTTGGAGTCTTCCCATTCCATGGGATGATGGGCAGCTGCCACAGGTCCTTGATGCAGCTGGTCTCCTCTTCCAGACTCCACAGCACCTTCTTCCCAAGCTTAGCATGGCAGCTGGTTGGTCCAAAGGTCACTTCGGCCTTGCTCTTCTGCAGTCGTCGCACAGAGAGAAGGTTAGCAGACAAGCCTTCAACCAGCAGAACATTCCCAAGCCCCACAAGCTCCCCATTAGCTCCCTTAACCTTGGCATTTCCAACACCAATGACAGGGAGCAAAGCACCTGACGCTGCTGCCACATACTTGATCTTCCCAGGGGGTTTTACCTCATCAAGCAAATCTGCCCGTGGGGTCATGTGACTGGTGCAACCTGAATCAATCACCCAGTGCGTGAGAGGGTGCATCACAACCTTTCCCACAGATCCCACATCACCCTCATGCCCATGCACATCCTCAACCATAAGAAACATCCCAGGATAGGCATTACCTTGTGCACCTTCACCTTGTGCACCTGAGCCTTGCACAGCACCACCTTGTGCGCGTTCACCACTGGGCGGCTTCATGCCTGGAGGTGCCCATCCCTCCGGCCTGCTGAAGCACTTGAACCAAGGATGCCCGACCTTCTTGCAGTACCAGCAGGTGCCCTCCATTCTGGTACTCCCCCTGCCACTAGAGCTCCCATGCCCCTCATTATAGTCACCTCGGCCTCTACCTCTGCCAAAGCTCCTCCCACGGCCTCGGCCTCTCCAACCCCCTCTTCCTCTGCCGCGCCCTGCAGCTCCATACCCCTCAGCAGTCTTAGTGGCAGCACCGCCTCCCACATGGCGTCTGCGGAAGTCCTCCTGCAGAATCTGCTGCCTTAGCCACTCAGGTGTCCATTGATCTTGTTGAGAGTTGAGGGTGGGGATGAGGTTGTCCCAAGAGTTGTCCAACACCGAGATGATCTTGGTGCACTGCTGCAGCTGAGATACACTGCTGCCCGCTGCTGCCATCCTTGCATAGGTGTCCTTGATCTTGTCAAGGACCGGCTTCACATCGTCCCCTGGTCGCATGGAGATGGCAGCAAGTTCCTTCTCGAGCACGATCACCATCAGGAGAGTGTTGGGCTGAATCACATCGCGTAGTAGTTTCCACGCCCTTGGACCCGAATCATCCGCTTCCACAAGATCCTTGATGTGCTCGAACATCTCCTTGTTGACCGATTGAAGGATGAGGTCGAAAAGCACCGTGCTTTTCTCAATCCACCGTTCACGTGCTTCGCCTTCTTCCGGCATCTTCTCTTCCCCAACAGCAATCTTCAGTAGCTTGTAGCGTTTGAAGGCACTCCTCATCCGTCCGCTCCATTCCTCATAGTTGGAGCCATCCAAAGCTTCAACTTTTGATGGCGGCGGCTCACTTGTCTTCTCAGCTACAGCTCCTCTTCCATTAGCATCTCCTCCTCTCTCATTCATCTTCTCCTTGAGAAATGACGAATTTCAGCTCCCCTTTGCTGTCCACACTCAGCTCCCTCGATATTTTCACAAGTATCGGCGTCCACGAAATTTCGGCAGAGTTTCCCCTTAGCGGAAGACACATCCAACCTTTAGAACACCACTTAGGCACACCCACAGGCCATGGTGGGTCTAGAAGGGTCTTCAAACTTCTGTAGACTCCTCTCAATGTCCTTAATATTGCTCTGATACCACTTGTTAGGATTAAGGACAGAGTCTAGGTGAACTTAGGAGCTAGAATTACTCAAAATATAAATCCGAAATTCTGGACAGAAAAGTCGTCTTCACAAGAAACGACGTCGACAAAACACTAGCCGTTGGAATGTCGCGAAACTTGGATATGTTGTAGCTCTTGATCTCAGCTACCGTTCCCAATTTGAATCACGTTGATTGATGAAGTATTCGCGACGCTATGGCTTTCGACGCACTAGGGGGTAAGCTGTAGGAGGAGAACTTAACTCAATCTCAAGAGTTCAATCAAAGTTCAAGAATCTCACAAGGAATTAGAGGAGCAAGAGAAAGGTTGGGATAGAAAGAGAGGGACGAGAGGGAAGGTCCCAAGAGAGTCCCCAACCAAGGAAACCCCATAAGCACAAAGATTCCCTCCCTATAGGAACCTCAACTTTGACCTTTGTCCCTTCCCAACCAATCCATCCAAGTTGGCCACCCTTGCCAACCTAGCTTGGTTGTTCCCAACCAATTTGCACCTGTTACAGTAGAGTGACAAATTTCCCCAACCCCAAAGGTCCCAACTCCATATAGAGTCACCCCACAACTTCACTTTGTAACCGCCGCAATTGTAACGCAAGCTCATGAACTTTGAATCTTCATAGCTTTCGCGTTCTTGCTCCGATTGAAGCGATTCTTGTTGCGTCGGAAATATATTCTCAAGATCTATCATCAAAATACCTGCTCAAACAAAAATAACACAGAACACATTCCCAAACTCCAGAACACACCACACACAAATTCTTTCACATTCAAACCACACATGCAAGTTGAAAACATGGGATGGGAGGCAGACAGAATGTGATAGCATATGATGACATCACACAACAGCACCGACTGGCTCCTCTGGCGCCCCGTCTACAGCTTGCGATTGGCGCCCCGTGAGTGGCACGATATGCTGCGTGCTACACTTGCTGACTTGCAGTTCTTCCCTTCGTCTGCAGACCCCTTACTCTTTGTACGTTCCGCCCAGACTTCGTTCTACATCCTTGTCTACGTAGACGATCTGGTCTTTGCTACTGCAGACAGAGACTCAGTGGCCGCCGTGAAGGCCGAGCTGCTGAGGAGACACACCTGCACTGACCTAGGAGAGCTGCGCCGCTACCTTGGCTTGCAATCTCCAAGGACAGAGCAGCGCGCACCATCACTCTCTCACAGTCACACTTGGTGCGCCAGGTCCTTCAGAGGTTCGGCCTTCAGTTCACTTCTGCACAGCCCACCCCTCTGCCTATAGATCACTGACTCTCTGCCCCATTTCCTGAGGAGGCTGTAGAGCCTAGTGGTCCCTACGCAAAGCTGGTGGGTTGCCTCATGTACCTGATGACTTGCACTCATCCAGATCTCGCATACCCTCTCAGCATCCTGGCTCACTTTGTGGCTACAGGCAGACACCGACCACAGCACTGGTCGGCAGCTAAGAGGGTTTTGCGTTATCTAGCAAGTACATCGGGCATGGGGCTAGTGCTAGGAGGACGCAGACCAGTGGTCCTTACCAGGCACACAGACGCTTCTTGGGCAGACGACGCCGAGACTCTCAGGTCCTCACAGGGCTACTCCTTTAGCCTTGGTGCAGGTGCCATCTCGTGGAGGTCCACCCGTTCCTCGTCTGTTGCCAAGTCTAGCTGTGAGGTTGAGATCTACGCAGGTGCCATGACGGCATAGGAGCTCCGTTGGCTGACCTTCTTGCTCACCAACTTGGGTGAGCGGCCTAGCTCTACCCCGGTTCTGTACGCTGACAACAGTGCCATGCTCCTCCTGTATCAGGAGCCACGACTTGAGGGCAGAGCGAAGCACATCCAGCTGCAGTACTTCCTCCTGCACGAGCTGCAGTAGCGTCGCCAGGCTCGTGTAGTACACTTGGCCTCAGGTGCCAACACAACTGATATCTTTACTAAGGCGCTTGCGCCTAAAGATCATCAGCAGCACTGTGTACAGCTAGGTCTCGTTCCTGTAGCCTCTCACTTGCTAGGGCCTTGATCGTGTACAGACCGTTATATATATTACCATGACTGGCCTTGTGGCCTCTTCCCAGTGGCTGGTCTAGTAGTGCCACCCTGGTCTTGCTCTTGCCTTGTCTGTACTTGTTTGACTGGTCTTTAGACCCCTGCCTCTGAGGTTGGACTAGTAGTGCCACCCTGAGTTGTTTCTCTCTCATCGAGCACTGCCCCTATCTAGTCTAGGGGGTGTGTCGAACATATATTGTATGTTTCTGTAGACTATATAGGGTTATGCCTTAGGGAGTACAACCGATTAGGTTATGTTCCCTTGTATGCCTTGTTCTAGATTATTCTTTCACTTGAACAGCCTAAACCCAGTAGCCTGAACTCTTGCGCCTGTGGGGGGAGGGGGGGGCGTGGTTCAAAACCACGCCTGTGGCTGGCAAGCGGGCGGCAGGTCTAACGGCGCCACAGGCATTGCACGACCGGCTGCTGCCAGACGACGCCATCACAGAGCGGCATCGATGCCGCGGCGGGACGTCGATGCTGCTACGGCGTCACGACGGCGCCGTCACGCCGCCACGACTGGACGTCGACGCCACGACGGCGCGACGCCATGGCAGCGCGTCGGGACGGCCGCGGCACAACGCGGCCAGCGGCACGACGGTGCCGCCACAGCCGACGCCGCCACGGCTGGACGTCGACGCTACGACGGCGCGACGCCACGGCAGCGCGTTGAGACGGCCGTGGCACGACGCGGCCAGCGGCACGACGACGCCGCCACAGCAGCACAACGCGGCCGCCATGGCAGCGCGAGAGGGTGAGGAGTGCGCACCGTGGTGTAGCACGAGCAATCGTCTACGAGGACCAGAAAGTAGCGCTCGCGACGCGGCCGAGGGACGGGGGCTGGGCCCCAGGCGTCCATCTCTGGGTTTGAAGTGGCACAGTGGTGGGGGGAAATGAGGAGGAGTGAGGATCATGGCGCAGCCGGCCCTCGATGCAAGGCGTGCATGGAGGCGCGGGCAAGGGAGGGAGGGCAAAGAGCGACGCAGGGAGACCTAAGACAAGACTGTCCTTGGACATGTGACGGAGACGTGGGATAGCCAGGTGACCAAGACGGTGGTGCCACAGTAGTGACGGGGGAGTGAGCGACAGACACGATCAAGCCGCAGCGACCTGGGTAGATGTAGCCACCTGGGGGGACGCCCCCACGAACTAGGTTCCTCGAGGGAACCGCCAATCAGGGAAGTGTGGTGAAGCTACGTACAACTACCGGTCTGGAGGAGGGGCCAGCAAGGGCGACAACTGCTGGGGCGACAAGCGGCGCGAGAGTGGTGTGGTCACGAAAGAAATAGGTGGACACACCAGAGTCGAGCGTGAAGGAGAGCGGAGCGGTAGCGTCAGCCGGCGAGGCCACTAGCGTGGAGCCAAGGCTACACAAGGTAGGAGAACCTACGCTTGACGCAGCAGGGGAGCCTAGACTACACATAGCAGGCACACCTAGGATAGGCAACACAAGGTAATGAGGTCCAGTAACACTAGAGTGATCAGCATACATGGCATACATAGCAGAGCGAATCTGATCCATATCTAGCTCAAAGACCGGCATACGACGACGCACCAAGCTGTGCTAGTCCGGGAGGAACGTCGTGGGCCCGAAGCGGAGATGGAAAACGTTGTCGAGGCGGTGGTAGCAGTAGGCAGTGGTGTGACCGGGATGGTCACACACGGTGCCACGAAGGGGACCAGTCTGATGCTGGTATTGACAACTCATAGAACTGGAGCCGCCACCCGACGTCGAGTTGCGAGGGCCGCCTCCGCGACCACCACCATCGAAGCCGCCCAGCGACCACGAGGGCGGGGCACCCCACTGCTGCTGCTGCTGCTGTCGGTGCGGCTGCTGCTGCTGCCTCTGGTGCTGCTGCTCTGTGGCGTTTGCTCCCACCCCCTCGTCTCCACTCCCAGCACTCCCATCACCGCCACCTCCCCCACCACCCCCACCACCCCCAGCCCCTCTCCCTCCCTTATGCCCCCCTCGGGGGTGACGGAGTGCTCTACCCTGATGAGGCTGCGCTGAGGCCGCCGCGGCGTTCTCAAGGACAGCAGCGGAACCGTCAGAGTACAGTAAGTGCCCTGGGAGGGAGAACAATATTGGAAGATGGGGACCACCGTTGTACCGCTAGATTGAGTGATAGTGCACTGGCGGGTCTCTATCGCCGACAGGGTGGCATCATCGGGGTGGAGGTCAGCGGGGTGAGGACTAAGGAAGGCGTCGCGGGCGGTGGCTAGGCGGTCGGGGAGGCGCGTGGCTAGGAAACAAAGCGTAGCGCCCAAGGGGGGAGGAAGTACAGTGAGCTGAGCCTCAGTGCTAGCAGCGCGGCAACTAGCCTCAAGCGCACGCAGGCAAGTGGCAAGATCAGCGATAGTGGGGAAGGATGCGAGATAAAAAAAGAGGAGGGGCAGGAGGAGGCGGCCAGCAGAGGTGGAGGCGGGAGTGGAATAGCGAGCAATGACTGCATCTAGGTACAGCGACGAAACAATTTGTCCGCAAAATGGCACTGTTGATCAAGTTCGCGATGTTTTTGCAAGTATAAATGGATAGATATCAATCTGGAACCTATGGACATTATGCAAAAACAATTGATGCACCTCCAAATATGTTGAACGCTAGGAGATATCGATTTCCTAATAGCGAGTACAAGCTTTAAGGCTTGATGGTCGATGTGGACAAATACTACCCGAGCAGAGACTAGATCTGTTTCCGCCGAGCATTTTTTGCACGAGCTAGCAAAGTCGCTTAGAATTTTGCTAATGCTTGCCCCTTACCCCGTGAGCCTCCAGTAGGCACGCGGCCGCTTGCTTCGTGTCACAGATAGAGGATCATGAGACTCTGTCGCTAGGGTCTGAGTTTCCGACAGATCGCACGTACGCTAGGAATAGGGAGAAGAATCATCCAAAAAATTGCTATGAAGGCTAGTCACAGAAGTAGTCATCTAGCAGCTAGGCCAACAGTCCCCTCTTCAGGTCGACATCGATTGCTCTCAGCATGACACGTGCGCACCTTCGTGCACATCATCATGTTAGGTGTCGCATTGACGGGCATCAAGGCTGTGTATCCACTGGAATCGTATAACGATGT